AGGATGAACGCGGAGCAGGTGGCGATTATGTTCATGGCCTTTGCATACTTCGGTATCCGCTACGATCAACTCTTTGGGGTTCTCACCAATCGTGCGGTGGAGCTTATTGATGAGTTTAATGCGCAATTTATCAGCACAACTCTTAACGCCTTTCAGCGCATTGGTATTAACAACCCGGAGCTCTTTGATAACTTGGCTGAGCGGGCCCTTGCGGTGGTGCAAGACCACGACGCACGTGACATATCCAAAACCGTCACGGCACTTGCCCACTTTGGTTTGAAGGATGAGGAACTTTTCAAACGCCTCGCCTCCCACGCCGCGAGTATCGCCGACCAGTTCGATGCATTGGGGCTTGTGAATACCGCCCATGCCTTTGCACGAACGAACTTTTTACAGCAGGATATGGCGGTAGCGTTGTCAGAGCGTAGCGTATACGTGTGCCGCCAAATTGACGCAGGTGAGGCACGCCGACTGCTTTGGTCCCTTGCGAAGTTTCAAGTGCGGGATCCGAAGATTTTAACCCCCGTCTTTAACCGTTGCCTGGCGTTGCATCAGGATTTCTTTTCCGACCCTACCGGTAGCGAGGAAATTGAGGAGATATTTGACATCTACGGCCCAAACTTCTGCCCACCGCTTTATCAATTGTACGTTTCGCGTGGTACCGCACCGCAGATGTGAGATGCCGCAATAGGAAAACGCAGTCGTGCGTATATATATATATATATATTGGAGCACAGCGGCCGTTTGCGTGCTTGCATGAGTTGCGATTAACGCCTCCTCTAGCAGCAGCAGCACCACTGTTGCACCTCCACGTGTATTGTTGTATGTGTATGCATGCATGCATGCATGTATGTGTGTGTGTGTGTGTGTGTGTGATGATGTTCACAGATGCCATGAATGACTTCATTGAATGGGGAAAGAGAAGAAACAAAACTGGCTGAACCGTCAGCCCTTTCCTTCTTTTTCTTTTTTCTTTTATTTATTATTATTGTTATATATATATATATATAAGAAGAAGGGGGAGAGGAAAAAAAAAAAAGGCAAACAAACAATCAAACAAGCAGGAAAAAAGAAGGAAATGAACAAAAGAAGGCTTTCTGGTGGGGGCGACACGGAAGGTTTTTTTTTTTTTTTTTTATTCTCTTTCTTTCCTCTCCCTTCCTCATACATGCATACATATATATATTCAGGCATACTTATTTAATCTCTCAAATAAGAGCGTCGATTTATTTTTGTCACATGACTTCTTAAATTCCTGCTATCATTACTTCTGCGGGGAAGTGGTGGGGAGGAAAGTTTGCCGTTGTTGTCACCATCCCACCTTTCATCCTCCTTTCTATCTATTTATACATACATATGTAGATTGGGTTTTATTTTTCAGTTATTATGCTGAATACAAAGAAGAACGCTACTAATAATACGCCTACGGCAGCAGCAGCAGCGGCGGAGGAGGAGGCCGGTATGACGGTGCGTCAACGCCTGCGGTTGAAGCGCGAATTAGAGGAGAAACGGAAGTTTGGCCTTGCACCGCTCGCTGTGGATGAAGTTTCAGGCAATGAAATTAGCCCAAATGTACCGCAGCTCATTTCACAGGCTCCGTGGTACTACGGTACCACCGGCCCCACTCTTGACCACCAGCGCCTAAAGTGCGTCGACACGATGGACAGGCTTCAGGATCAACATGACACGGTCGTGGTGCTTGGAAAAGCAAAGACGTACACAGCTGGGGCCTGCGGTAACTGTGGCTCCAGCACGCACAAGACAAGTGAGTGCTACAAACCCCGCAAGAAGGTAGGCGCAATGTACAGTGGCAAGGTGACATCTGTCGACATGCATGTGGAGCGGACCGAAAAAAGTTATGCGCAAAAGCGTGACCGGTATGCTATGGGTGCTAGCGGCGTGGACTTATTGCAGCAGGCATCACAGGAAGAAGAGGAAGAAACGCAAGCAACCGGGAATCTGCATGCCAACGGCGAGATGATAGTAAAAAAGCATCCGCGACTACAAGACGTGTTTGCCACGCAGACCGCCGTGACAGGCGAAGGGGCGGAGATCAAAGAATTGCCGAAGCACTTGCACAACCTTGACGACGACAGCGCAATGTTCGACCCAAAGACGGGATCCATGCGTGGAAACCCGAACGCGGCGGATCCAACCCGGACGTTCCAAGGGGACCTGCAGCGCTACCGCACCGGAGACTACTACACATATCTTGACATGCAGCTACGATTTCTGAACGGCGAGTCAAAGTCGATTGTTGACTTTAGACTGGATGAACAGCTGCAGAAACAGAGGCGACAAGAGCGGCAGCAGCAGAAGGATGAAGGCAATAGTAATAATAATAACAATAATAACAGTAACAACAACCGCAGCGTTGACACAGAGGAGGAAATGACGCGGGATCGGTTACTGCGATCACTTTACGGAGAGTCCTCATGTGCCTCCGCAGAGAATTCTCTGCGCATGAGGGAGGCAATTGCCGGCTTTGCTGCTGCCTCCGCTGCATCGTTGTCATCATCACCGCAGGTGGCATCATCATCGTCATTGGCTTTGTCTTCCATGTCAACACCGATAAATCTTCCTCAGGTTCGTATTGGCTCGGCCACGCGAAACGGTCACGCATGCGTGTACGGCAGTTATTTTGATCGAGAAGGGTTCCGATGGGGGTACAAATGCTGCAAGCGCCTTGGGAAGGATGCAGCGGCGTGCCAATCCACACCTGCGGAACCATCCGTGGCTGCGAAGGCGGAAGGAGAGGCATTGGGCCAAGCATCATGAAGGAGAATTACACACGTTTTTTTTTTCCCCTCCCTCCCTCTTTACCCACACACACACGCACACGCATATATATATATGCACACATTTGTGAGCATGAAAGTGTGGATGAGTGCCTGCTTTACCTCCTGCTCGATTTTTTTTATCAATTATTTATTTACTTTTTTTTTGTATCTTTGTGTTCTTTCTCCTTTCTTTCCTCTTTGCCGCCATGTGTGTGCATTGGTGCCCTGCTGCCAAAAAAAGAAAAAAAGAAGAGAAATAATATATATATATACATATTTTGTAGAAGAAGGAACAAAGATAATTCAAGAAGCGTGCAGCAGAACGACAATAGGGGTGGGTGGGTGGCAGCCTACCGTAGACACATACAATACAATACATACACAAAGTCGGGGCTGCAGTGGAAAGAAGAAGAAGAAGAAAAACCAAAATAGAGACAGAATTGGTAAAAGGAATAGACGTCGAAAAGTGAAGAAACAAAAAAAAAAAAGGAAGGAAGGAAGGAAAGCGTGATGAATGTATACTTCAGCAAACGTGTTGCGGTACCGACGAGTACAGTCATTACATCTATTGCGTGGAATGAGGAACAGGGATGGTTGGCGTGTGGTGGCAGGGGTGGGCTGCTGAAGGTGTTGAAGATCGACAACAGCATCGGTGCGAAGGGGGCACTTTTGGTGAATCAAACGCTTGAAGGGCATTCAGCAGACGTCTCAGCGGTGGCATGGAACCATCAGTACCGTAAGCTTACATCCAGCGATGAGAGTGGACAGATCATTGTATGGACACTGCATAAAGGCATGTGGATGGAGGAGATGATAAATAATCGCAACAAAAGCACCGTGTGTGATCTTTCATGGAGCGCCGATGGCACAAAAGTGTGCATCATTTACGAAGATGGGGCCGTCATTGTTGGGGGTGTCGACGGTAACCGCCTGTGGGGAAAAGACGTCAAACGTGAGCTTGCAAAGGTGACATGGAGCCCTGACGATCGGTACATTTTATTTGGCACAAAAAATGGTGAGGTACTTGTGAATGAAAGCGATGGTGGGCATGCGGTGTGCCAACTGCGCATCTCGTGCCTGGAAGGGGTGGAGTCACTCAGCGGTCTCTCGTGGCATCCCGCGTGGGTCGATAGTCCCGACCCTCCCGCCACACTCGCCGTCTGTTACGCGAATGGACGAATGCAGTTGATGCGTGACATCAACGACAACCGCCCTTACCTCATTGACAGCGGCATCCCGGTGAGCTGTATCGCGTGGAACCCGCAGGGGACGACCATTGTCGTTTGTGGCGTCATTTCCACGGCGGCCATGATGGGCGACAGGCCAGCGTCACAGCCATCCTCGCCGTCGAGTTCGCTGGTGGTGGCGCAGTTCTTTAACACGGAGGGCGTCCACCTGCGTACGCTGCGGGTTTCGGGGCAGCACTGCGGCGGGGTGACATGGGAGGGCGATGGACTTCGTGTCTGCATTGCGATTGACGCCGCCTTGTACTTTGCGAATGTGCGGCCCGCGTACAAGTACACCTACTTTTCCAAGACCGTTGTTTTTGCGTTTTACCGCTCCGACCGTGCGGAGCAGGGCGTTATGTTTTGGAACACACGAAGTAACGAGCGCTTCATCCGCTACATCCGTGGGCTTTTTTATATCGACTCCTGCAAGGACGTCTGCATGATCGTCAACACGTCAGCGGATGGGTCCCATCGCGTTGTGCAACTGTTGAATGCCATTGGAAGTCCTCTGGAGGTGCGGATGATGGACTTGGAGCCGCTTGTCTGCGGCATGAACTCCTCACACATTGTGGTATCAGACGAGGAAAACATTTACGTCTGGCAGTTCCGTGACCCGGACGTCGTTCTGGACTTACTGGATCCCATCTCTGTGCAGGCGAGCCGCCGTGAGACACGGGATCGCATCGTGCATGTGGACGACATTGTTCGTCCTGATAGCCCACCGTCACTGGTTACCCACACGGCGGTCACGAATGATCTCATCTGCTCACTCTGCCTCAGTGAGGAATTTCTCTTCGTTGCTCGTGAGTCCGGGCTACTACAGTTGTACCGCTTTGCCCCGCTGCATCTTGTCGGCAAAATGGTTTTGCCCTCCCGTGTGCAGTCGATGGCAGCCAACTCGAATTCCACACGTCTCTCGGTGGTAGATGTGAGCGGCACCATGACGGTTTTTCATATTGATCCTATGAAACTGTCACTTGTGCCTCAAAAGATTGCCCCGGAGCCTAACTTTGAGCACAAAGACGTCTGGAACGTGCGTTGGTCGAAAGACGACCCGGAGCTTTTTGCCGTGTTGGAAAAGTCCCGCATGTACATATTCCGCGGCACGGAGGCGGAGGAGCCCGTTCAGTCCCGTGCCTGCATTTGTAAGTTTAAATCTCTCAAAGTACGAGCACTACAGCTGGACGATATCATGCATGATCCGGAGAGACCCCGCAAGGAACATGTCATTGAATTTGAGACAAGGGAACTGCGAGAGGCGCGGCAGGCGCTGCAGAATTTATCAATGAAGGAGGCGTACATGTACGTGGAGAACCACCCGCACCCCAAGTTGTGGGCCCTACTCACCGAACACGCACTGGCGCAGCTTGACTTTGATCACGCGGAAATGGCGGTTGTCCGGAGCAAGGATTACCCGGCCATACAATTCGTCAAACGCATTAAAACGCTTGACGACCCGCAGAAGCAGCGGGCGGAAATTCACACCTACTACGGCCGCTTCGATGAGGCAGAGAAGATCTACAAGGAGATTGACCGCAAGGATCTTGTGCTGGACCTGCGCTACCGCCTGGGCGACTGGTTCCGTGTCGTGCAGCTTGTCCAGGAGGGAGGCGGGGACGAGTCTCACATGCAGAGGGCGTGGGAAAACATTGGTGACTTCTACGCCGAC